TTTGAAGGTTTGAAGGTTGGAAGGTTTGACAGATTAAATGAATCAGTGTTTTGATAAATGTAAGACTAAATAGGTCATACTGAATTTGAATTAACTAAGGTTGTAACCTCCAAGGCTGTCCCCTAGCCTGCGCCTACTCTGCACCTACATTGTAACTTGTAAGTCTCCTCCCATCACCTCCAATAGTGTTACATGCATTCAGGCATGGCTTCTCCAAGGCTGTCACCTAGCCTGCGCCTACTCTGCAACCCATGCCACCTCTTATTCGCCAATGGGGATGGCGACACCTTTAATTTTTGGACTCTTTCGCCAAGTCCAATGGCGCCTCCCTTAATGTCCAATCGTGTTACATGCATGTAGAGATGCCTTCACCAAGGCTGCCACCTAGCCTGCGCCTACTCTGCACCTACACTGTAACTTGTAAGTCTCCTCCCATCACCTCCAATAGTGTTACATGCACTCAGGCATGGCTTCTCCAAGGCTGTCACCTAGCCTGCGCCTACTCTGCAAGCCATGCCACCTCTTATTCGCCAATGGGGATGGCGACACATTTAATTTTTGGACTCTTTCGCCAAGTCCAATGGCTCCTCCCTTAATGTCCAATCGTGTTACATGCATGCAGATATGCCTTCTCCAAGGTTGCCACCTAGCCTGCGCCTACTCTGCACCTACACTGTAACTTGTAAGTTTCCTCCCATCACCTCCAATAGTGTTACATGCATTTCGGCATGGCTTCTCCAAGGCTGTCACCTAGCCTGCGCCTACTCTGCAACCCATGCCACCTCTTATTCACCAATGGGGATGGCGACACCTTTAATTTTTGGACTCTTTCTCCAAGTCCAATGGCGCCTCCCTTAATGTCCAATCGTGTTACATGCATGCAGAGATGCCTTATCCAAGGCTTCCACCTAGCCTGCGCCTACTCTGTAAGAGTGACACTTATCATGCATGCATGCACCAGCTACCACCTCACTTACTCTATAAAAATTGTTTGCCTATAAATACAGAGCATAACATACTTCTCTCGCACCAACAATCGTCTCACCCTCTGCTACAAAGTCTTTCATAATCTCTTACACTTTCTAAGTCTTTCATAATCTCAGGCATTTTCAACAATGGCTCTTCTCACAATGGGCAATTCTCATAGAGGCACAAGGGACAACATTGTCGCATTTGTAAGTTTCTATTTTAGTTATACATTTTTTATACTTCAGGTAATGCTTTGTTCATCTTACTTAATCTTACACCTTTTACATTATTAACTCAGGATACCAAAAGATTCAGAATCCGGTATCACAACTACCTGGCTCCCGACCCATTTATCGTACCATATCTGGAATACGCAGGTTTCGGACATGTTATAAAGATCTCCAACTGCACAATTGATTCAAAGTTCATACTTGCAATGTTGGAAAGGTAGAGACAAGAGATCCATACATTTCACCTACCAATAGGTGAATGTACCGTCACGCTAGAGGATGTGTACATGTTACTGGGTCTCTCTGTCGACGGTAAGGCCGTTAACGGGTCGGTTCAACAACCCAATTCTCTGTGTGAAGAATTGTTGGGCAGGGATATGGTTGAAGGTGGTGGTGCGAAAGGTCAGGGTATACTACTAACTGAGCTTAAAAATAATTATGCAACTTTGGAATTAAACAAAAAAATTTTCGAGCAAGACAGGGTAATAAAAGCTAGAACTTATCTAATGATACTATTTGGAACCTTTTTATTTCCCGAAAGTACGAGAAATAGTGTAAATTTTATGTATTTAAGTTTACTTAGAGATTTCGAAAAAACTAGAAAGTATAGTTGGGGTTCTGCTGTTTTAGCCCACCTATACAGCTCCTTGTGCAAAAATGCAATCAAGGAAAAATGTACATTTTATGGATGCGCTTTTTTACTTCAAGCTTGGGGTTGGTGGAGGATGGAGTCCCTAAACCCCGTCAACAACAACACATTCGTGTTCCCGTACGCAACAAAGTAAGTCATCAAGTTATATCATTTATTACTGTTCATCTCTTCACCAAATATATGCTAAAAATAAAATATTTTTCATTTCCTTTAGGTATTGCGTGAGGGGTATGGATTACGGTAAGAATCCAAGATTCAATGTCGCACTATACCCCAATCTATTGGATCACCTAGGCCTGGATGATGTACGTCGTACCTTTCAACTTTTCTACTTTTAAATTATTTATATATTACGTTTTCATTAACCTGATTTAATTTTATGCGTAGTTTGTTTGGAGACCATATTTGGGTTTGGGCCATGAACCAAACTCCGAGGATGCAGCAATTTGGAGCGCCAAGACTGCAATCATACGATTCAATATTATGGAGATGCACCGCAGCGACCGTGTGAAGATGCAGTTCGGAATGCATCAAGAAATACCCAGTGATCCGACTTGTTTGTCCTCGTGGCATCTCAAAAGGGTCGACGCCCAGTGGGGTCTTACCAACTAGAAAGACTTTGCTCCAGAATGGTGTAAGATGTGGCAGAGGCGTCACCGACATGTCTTGCAATTCCCGGTTTTCCTCAATCCTGGTAATATGCGACACACGGATCAGTATTTATCTTGGTACAGGTCGGTTAGTAACCCTTAAATGCACATGTCTCATCCAAGGTATTTGGTTGACCCACAAACATAAAGGGCACAACCCTCGTTTCCCCAACAACAAACCCAACACACATCAACTTCCCACCAACCCCCCCAGACGAAACAGAACCACAAACACTCAACCACAGTTCCCACCACAACACAATTACACCCAAATGCCCCACAACCAACTACAATCACCACCTGAGTACCAATACCCCCATATGCCTCACACTCAACCGCAATTCCGATCACAATACCAACACACCCGCATACCCCACACACAATTGCAGTCTTCTGTATATCCCAATATGGGCCCCTCAACATCCAGCCTTAGCCCTGATCTGGGAATGTCAGAAGATTATGAACCAACCGACCCAACTTACCATCAACCACAGTATCACCAAACCACCCAACATCCTCAATATCAAACACCCCAAGATCCATTTCCTTTCTATCCCCCGTACTCAGACGATCAATGCTACATACCCACCATGGAACCCCACCCACCGCCAACACGACCAAACTTTGAGGGTATGGGTAACCGACTGTACCAAAGCAGATCTTCTAGATATGGAGATCTGACTGATTTCATGGATCCGGAACGCATTGACTTCGCTGGACCATCGACCCTACCACAGTAGGAAACGCGACGACACCCAACACGGGAAAGGCGAGGACGGGGATGCGGAACCGGGGGTCATTACTGGGTTCTGGGGGACCACTGATTAATCTGTTTTTTTTATCTGTTTTTTTTATGTAATACTTATGGGTGTAATCATTTTTTTAAAATAAAAATTCAATTTTGTTGATCCTATATCGAATACGTAACGCACCGGATTGAAAAAAAAACGCGAAAATTGTCCTAGAAATGCACTAAGGCGCCATCTCACTTGGCTTAGGGCAAACCCTAAGCACCTAGGCGCCAAGTGAGATGGCGTCTCCCCTTAAAAAATAGGTGTAGGCGCCAAGTGAGATGGCTCCTCCTTTGGAGAGTCATCTGAAACATGATTATTTGCGTAATTTTTTCCGAAACGTAGTTATTTGCGTAGAAAAAATTTAATAACTGATTATTCAAAAAAAAAATTCTTTTAAAAGTGTCTATGATTGTTTTAATTATTATTTGGTATAACTATAAATATGAATATCTATTAACAATCATTAAAATCAATTACATGTTTGGGGCAATTAATTGAGGCAAAAAGGAATGGAAAAAAGGACCTTGAGAGAAGATCTCATGTCGATTTTGAGAGAGACCCATAACAATTGGCTCTTCACGTGGGGGTGTGACCTACAAATGGCCTTAAAAGTAAATCATATCACGAGAAGAAACCATGTACGTGTACGCATCATAATCAAATTAAAAACAATAAATAAATTTAATTTTGATACATCATTTTTAAAACATTATAAAAATTTAATTTTGATACAACTTAACCTATTATTGATATTTGACCCAACATGAAGTTGGTTGGAAGTTGAAACGTTGTATAATTTTATTTACTGATGTATGTGAGTTTAATATAATACCTAAATAATTTGAGAAAAAAATGTGAATATCATTGTTTGTTTGTTAATTTTCCATTGATTCTTTCTTTTCTTACAAGCTTATTTCTCTAACACTACTCTCTCTAAATATATAGTAATTCAGTTACTCTTTTAGCAACTGATTTGTAGACAGAAACACGTGACCTAACCTCCTTCTCCACGCCATTGAACCTTTCTCTAACCTAATAATTGTCTCTGATTATGTATCTTTGACTATATACTTTTTAATACTCATAAATTTATGCATCCAATTAAGGATGCTACAATATTTTTAGAGTCAACACACCAATGATTATGAAAATAAATACTCTTGTTTTCCAATATATATAATATTAAATTAATCTTTACCAAAGTTATGGATGCTACAATATTGCTAAATTAATATTTTATTAATTAAAATAATATTTGTACAACTGTTTTTAAGTTAAATTCTTTCCACTAAACTAACATCTCAAATAAAATATGTGGCTTAAGCATTAAGATATCATCAAATCTATAAAACAATATAAACACAAAACACAACAAAAATAACCACCAAATGATAAAAAATAGTTATACCTTCATATATAGATGATGTCTAATATAAAAATTTACAAACATATATAATAAAGGAAAATAAAAAAAAAGTAATAAAAAAAGAAGTAATATTGATATTCAATTACTAATTACTAATTACTAATTTCTACAGTATTAATTAATTAATTAATTAATTAATTACACGTTTTAACCATTTCAGAAGCTAGCTGTAGTTCACAAACATTTCCCCTCAACCAAAAAATACAAAGGTTGTGTAGGAAAGTACTCTTGTTGTTTTCTTCTTTTCTTTTTTCTTTTAACCCTTTTCATAGTAACAAATCAACATGCTGCAGAAGAATTTGTGAAGGGATTGTAAAAGTGAGGTTTAGGAGCCACTGAAAAATTGCTCTTATTGGAAGAACCACCATTAACACCACCACCAAGCCTCTCACAAGAAGGGCACATAGTAAGGGTTGCAGCAGGCATAGGCATATACAAAGGTTGTGCTTGTTTCAGTGCCTTTAATTCTTGAACCTCTTTTTGTAACCTTCTGTTTTCATCTGTTAATGTTTCACAACATTTCTTTAGGAACTCACAATCCACCTCGGTTTGTTTCAGCTTTGTTCTGTTACATATTCATCAAAAAAAAATCTTAATATTCATCTCTAACATACCATACATAAATTCTATTAAATTAATTCAGTTGATAGTTGTGCAGAGACATCTAATTGCAGAGCAGTTGAATATTAATTAAAAATATTTACCTGGCTCTGCGGTTCTGGAACCAGACTTCAACTTGTCGAGCGGTTAGATTTAACTCTCTGGCTAAGGCTTGCTTCTGTTTCTGTAAATTTGATGAATAGCTTGATAAATAAATGATAAAAAAAAAGTAAGAATTTGATAATTGGAGAAAAACTATGAAAAGAGAGATTTTGAATTATGATTACAGGATTCAGCGTGCTGTGTTGTTTGAAGCTTTCTTCAAGCATGGCAGATTGATCTTTGGTAAGTCTAAGTTTCTTCCTAGTTGCGGTGGCGCCGTCTTCTTCTTCGTCGCTAATTCTTGAAGAAACTCTTTCTATCTCTGTTACTTCAATTTCTTCACTGCTAACGTCTCTTTCTCTTTTGACTCTACCACTAGAGAAAGATGAAACAACGCTATGGAGAGGTGAGTTTGTTTGTGTGGAAAAATCAAGAGGTTCTTCGTAGTAACTAGATAAACCCAACGTTAGAGATGGTTCAGCTTCATAGTTGTTGTTGTTGCTTGATGAATAAGGTTTTGTAAGGTTGTTGTTGGATGGTGGTGTGTCTTGTTTGGTGAGAGTGAGGGCTAAGCCTAGAATAAGTTGAAGGTTTGAATTGTTATTTCCAGCATCTTGGTTATTAAGACCCATCAAGTTATAGTGAGAGAGAGAGAGAGAGATTGATGATATGAATATGAGGTGATGGTGTGAAGGGAAGAGGAGAGAAGAGAGGTTGTAAGGGAAGAATGGGATGATTAAATGATGGTGTGGTTATATAAAGTTTTGTGGGAGTAAATTAGGGGAAAGAGAATGAATGAGACTTTTTGTGGGGGCATTTGGTGGGTGGGTGTGTGTGTGTGGATATGATTATTAGGAGAATTATTATTGTTATTTGCTACTAATCAAAGGGTGGAATGAGTAGAGAAATGAAATTAAAGAAATAATTAGATATTATATTGATGAGTATAAGGATGTATCATACATCTATTAACATATGCAATATAATTGGGAAAAGGTAGAGACCATGACTATATAAACATGAGGTTATCCTCTAGACAATAATTCATAACATCAATAGAACATTTATAGTAAAGACAATGGTCCCTTTTTTTCTTATTAAGTGTCATTTAAAAGATTGTGCATTAATATTTTCCACCATGTTTAGCACATTATTAAATATTATTACAGAAAATGTGGCCATTCCTCATACTTCAATAACTTAGTGTAGTATAGGGATTTAGAGGAGAGAGAATTGATAAAAAATATTATATTATATTTGAGAGAATAATTTTTTAAATGATAAATATATTTTTATGATTAAAATATTCTAACAATAGAAATTAAATTATATATTTTTAAATCTCTTCATTTTTAAGTTTTAAATATCTATCTATCTATATATAAAAGTATTCAACTCTAGGTTTCTTTCTTTTCCATACCTCATAGAGAAGAGTATTAATATCTCCTCTCAAAGTGACCATGTTATCAATATAGCATGCAGTATTTATAGCTTCAGTCTAAAACTCAAATGACAACTGCTTGGCATTAAGTAAGACTCTAGTTGATTCTTGTATGGATCTAGTCTTTTTCTCAACATTTCCATTTTCTAGAGTTTTCCAGGAATAAGAGAACTCATGGCTTATCCCTTCAGAATCACAAAATACAAAAAAATTACACTTTTAAACTCCATGTCATTGTCACTTCTGACTTGACAATCACACTTTTCTTCTCCTCTTGAATGCTTTGACACAGACTTTTGAAGACTTCAAAAGTCTATGATTGTTCTCTAAGAAAAATCATCCAAGTATATCCAGAAAAGTCATCTACAACCACAAAGACATATAATTTTCCTCCTAGGTTGTCTATCTATAACGATTCCATCACATCCATGTGAAGAAGTTCCAAAACTTTGAAATTAGTCTGATGTTGCAATATTAGGTGTGACATCATGCTTTTGTTCTTATTTACACACTCATCAAAGACCCTCACCTCTTCAATCTTGAGCTCTGACATATCTCTAATGGATCCTTCAGATATGACTTCCTTCATTCTTTTGAAATGAAGATGTCCAAGTTTCTGGTGTCATAGCTTCACTTCATCCTTATTAGTTTTTGAACATATGGAAGAGTAAGCAATTATTTGAGATTCTCACAAATAGCAGTTGTCTTTGGACCTTATCCCCTTCATTAGAACAACTTCTTTTTCATCTTTGACAAGACATTCTAATTTTGAGAAGTTTACTAACAAACCTTGGTCACACAATTGATTAATGTTAATAAGATTAGCAATTAATCTTTTCACAAACAACACATCTTCTAAACTAGGACAACCATCACACATCAGCTTACAAACTCATTTAATTTCTCCTTTAAACTCATCATCAAATCTAACAGAACTTGTGGGATGAGGCTTGACAACCATCAACATCTTCTGGACCCCTGTCATATGTCTAGAGCATCCATTATCAATATTCATGTTTTCTCCATTTGAGTCTCTTAAGGAAGTATGAGCAATAAATTTCATATTCCTATTTTCAGCGTCTCTCTTTTTGCTGACTTACTCGGCCTTAGAATGAACTGCAATTTTCTTATCTCCATATAGCTTGTAACAGAAAGACTTTACATGACCATCCTCAAAACAATAATGGAAAATCCAAGTTGATGATTAAAATATGGTCAATGTTTTATCAAGTCTTCCAAAATGTTGTAACATGTTATTGGACATGTTGATTATTCTCTTACTTTCAGTAGGAAGAGACTTCACCACATACACTCTTCTTTGATCATTATCAAATTGATAGTCACCTTTCGTATCTCCAATTTCTTCCATCATAATAGCTTTATCTTCCAATTTTTTTAATGAGTCTTACATGTTATCAATCTTGGAATTTAATAGAGTTACATCACTTTGAAGATGATATACAATATATAGAATCTTCTTCTTTTCATTATCCAAGTTAGCTATGATCTTTCTTTGATCTTCCTTTGTTTTGATATTTACTTCACATCTGTCACATGTATTTTTGTAGGATGTATCAATATCTTTATAGATAACATTATCATCATAAGCTTCCACTTCATGTGTCCATCTTCCAGAAAGAGCCAACACAAATTTTACAGATTCATTGTTAGTCTCATATTCTGATTCATCATCATTAGATCAAGACACAGTAAATTCCTTTTTCCTCCTCTTAAGAAAAGTGGAAAATTATGGTTTGATATGACCAAATTCTTCATATTCAAAACATTAAGTGCCTCTTATTTGACTTGACTTCTCTTTTGTTCTTGTTTTCTTCTGAGAATCAAGATTGTTACTGATATCATATGTGATGTTCTTGACATCTGGTCTCGCTCTTTTGTCCAATCTTTTCAATACTCTATTGAATTTCTTCCCAAGATGCACAACGGTATTAGACATGTCATCATTAATGTCTAGCTCAATTTGACATTTATCATCTGCAACATAGGATACAAAAGTTATGCTTTTGTTCTTTTTCTCAGCCTTGTCACCAATAGCCAATTGAAATGTTTGAAGTGACCCAATCAGCTCATCAACTCTCATATTATTGATGTCTCGAGCTTCTTCCATAGGTGTAACCTTCATGTCTAATCTCCTAGGTAAGGACCTAAGAATATTTCTGACCAACTTTACTTCTAACATCTTCTCTCCCAAGGCATTTGATGCACTAGCAATTTCAAGAATCTTCATCGGATATTCTTGAATTTTCTCATCATCATTCATCTTCAAATTCTTAAATTTGGTAATGAGAAGCTGAAGTCTTGAAATCTTCACTTTAGAGGTACCTTCATAAGTTGTCTTGATAATTTCCCAAGCATCATTGGCTACAGTACATGTATTAATCAGCTGGAAAATATTTTTGTCTACTCCATTGAATAGAGAATTTAAAGCCTTGGAATTTCCAATGGCTTCTTTATCATCATTTTCATCTCAATCTTCTTCATGTTTTAAAGATTCTTTCCCATCTTTGTCCTTCAAATTGGATGCTCCCATCCTTATAAAACACCCTTCCAAGCTTTCCTATCCATATATTTCAGAAAGGCTATCATTCTGATCTTCCACCAGTCATAGTTTGAACCATCCAACATAGGTGGTCTGTTTCTATATCCTCATTCATTTTTCCATAGTGCCAGAAAATTATATCCTTGGATCTCACCTAATAAACAGAACAGGGTGTCTGTTCTGATACCAATTGAAATTTTAACACACACAATATCAAAATTTAATACAGATGTCTCAACAACACACAATGTCACGACAGATGTTATAACATCTTTTGGAAAAAAATAGACTTGCTAAAAACAGAAAGATTGTGCAGAAAAGTAAATTGCAGAAACTTAAAGAACACAATCAATTGTTAACCCAGTTCAATGCAACTCACCTACTTTGGGGGCTACCAAGCCAAGAAGGAAATTAACTATCAGTAGTATCGATTTTAAGCTAAACAATCACAATTTACACTTCTCACTTAATCCCTACCCAATGCAATTTCTACCTAGGAACCTCCTAGATATGAGAACCTCTCTCACTCCTAATCACCACAGTGATATCAAACAATCCCAATCCCAAGGAATGTCTCAAGAAACCAAAAATAAGATTACACTTCCAATACAAAAATACTTAGTTTTCTTAAAAGCTTCACTATGAACAATACTCAACTCTTTGCTTAAAATCTTAGAGGAGAACAATAACTTGATAAACAAGTAACAATAACTAAACTCAAATTTATCAAAACATACATGAGGATGTACAAAAAACACATAGAGAAACTAAGGAACTCTCAAACCCTAAACCCTTATGTTTCACAAGGATTTACAATAAAAATTTTGCTTCTTAAAAATTATGTCTCAGATGTCTCCTTAATAAACTTCTGCAGTTGGCCTTGGACTCTTCAATCAAATCCAATCTTCAATTCTAAATCCTTTCAGAATCTTCTCCATAAAAATAGAAACAAAAAAATATTTCGAATATTTCCTAAAAAGTCTCAAAGATCCTTTTAATGAAACAAGTCAAATATGTAATTGTTCCTAAAAATGTTTGATTCCCTGCACCTGTTACGAGTACTAGAAACCTCTATAATCTCATATGTTTTCAATCAAATCTTCAAGGATATTATCCACCTGTACTGTCATGATATTCTGTTGTAACATGTTACAACATATGATAGAACATCTGTCAATTAAGTACCGACAGACTCTGTTATACCAGCTGTTAAAGATGTTATGATATCTTGCTTAACATTAGGTTGCAATACATATTTTCCCAATGAAAAATGTTTGATAAAATTGTTTCCAACTCTTTATTTTACCAAAATTGTTGCCAACCATAAAATCACACACCTAACAGTAGGAAATTATCTTAGTGCATCTGCCTTACTTCTGAGGCTCAATGTTATGCAACACAAATACTTTGTAATAAATATGGACCTTAATATAAATTTCTTCTTAAAGTTCTTTAAAGATTTGGTTTCAGTCAGGCTTTTTGTTCTTGAACTCATACTATTCTTTAAATGATCAGGTTCTCTATTTGTGTTAATGTGAACAATGAGGAATTTTCATTGAAAAAGGGTGTTAGGCAAGGTGATCCATTTTCCCCTCTCTATTTTTGTCTTGTTGAAGATGTGCTAAGTAGAT